AAAAAAAAAAAAAAAAAAAATGGCTTCTGGCACCCAGGCTCTGTGTTCTGTCCCTGTCCTTGGAGGCTGTGAGTCATCTGACCTTCCCCTGTCCCCACCCCCAGCTCTGCAGCCTGACAGTGGTCGTCCTAACAAAGACAGTGACTGCTAATGATAAGTGAGAGCTGCTTGGTACAGAGTAGGGATGGGCCAGAGGGGAGGAGGAAGCGGTGATCTCACACCTTACCCAGCAGGTAAGGGCCAGGGAGGGAGTCACTAGCCTCACAGCACACCTCAGTCTCCCTGAGTTCTGTCCCCTCTAAAGTCACCTCTCCCCACAGCAGAGGGGCATTGCCTAGTGTGCTCAGGCAGTGCCTGTCCAGCACAGGACGTGAGCATCCATGCACCTTGATGAGAGCCTATGGCACTGTCAGTGCTGGGGAACCGCACCGTATGGCAGGATAGAGCAGCATGCTGGGCACAGCCCCAGGAGCAGGAGCTGGCTGCACAGGGCCTGTCCCACTCCCCGAGCAGCAGACTTCCCCAGGTTCCTGTTCTTCACCACAGTTGAAAAGAAGGCCAGCCTCCCATTTCTGGGATACTAAGTCTCAGAGGATCTGGGGGCATCAGTAGCTCATTTCATCTCACTTCCAGGAAGCCCGTCGTCCCTGGCCTGCTGTGGTTTGCCAACCCCTGGTCTACATACAGAATGGTGGCTCTGTCCATCTGCCTGAGTTCCCCTCTGTGTGATTCCTCCCAGCAGAAAGGGCCCCGATACCCTGATACAAACAAGGAGAGCTTCAAGGTGGGGATTTGGGAGGGGTGGTTCATGGAAGGAGGGGCAGGGGAACTCTAGAAGGCCTGTCTCTCACGAGGGCCAGTGGTGAGCTGAGACCCAGCCGAGTCAGGCCTCTGCTCTCTGGTTTCTCCAAGGCCCTGGTCATGCCTGCTGTAGAGAGCAGCCGGGACCACCAATGACACGGTGTGTGATGGGATCCTTGTGCTTGGGATAGGCCACATGAAGCATGCCGTCCACTCCCAGCCCTTTGGGAAGAGCAGGGAGAGCGCCAAGGGGCCCTTAGAGCTGCAGAGCTTGGAGCAGACCAGGCTACTGGCCCCAGCAGCTTAGAGCCTTGGAGGAAGCTGGTGTGGAAAGGGAGAGGACTAGGTGCTTTTATATCTGTGGTTCTTACCCTTGGCAGTCAGGGGATTCCTGCTGCCTGGGCCCGCCCAGGCCAGTTAACCCAGTGTCTCTGGGCCAGGGGGCTCTGGCTGCAGTGCTCACTCAGGCTTCCTGAATATTTCTTCTATGCAGCCAGTGTAGAAGACCTCTAGTACAAGCATGAGTTGGCTAAAACAATTCCATGCTGCTTTGGGGATGTGCGTTCATGTAGTAAAAGGTATAAAGAAGTACAATGGAAAGAAATGAAACTCAGGAAAGTGATGGTTTCCAGGCACAGGAAGCAGGGTTGTCCTGTTCCTTTTCTTAAGCAGAGTGGTAGGGACATGATCTTATTTTATACATTTTTGTCTGGCTGAAATGATTCACCATTAAGTTAATAGAAAAGAAAAAGGGCATAGATTTTGCAGTCATATAGACTTAAAACTTCTGCCACTTAGTAGCTATGTGACCTGGGGAAGGGACTTAACCTCTCTGAGCTTGTTAATCATCTATAAAACAGGGTTTCCAGGGCTATGTAATTACCCATCAAGTTCTAACACTCCTTCCCAGCCAGACTGAGGCCAAACTGGGACAATCACAGCTCCCTGCTGACCCCTTCCAAGAACAGGTTGCTAATTGCCCCCAGTACTCAGGCCTCCCCAGCACTGAAGGATGGCACCACCTGCTCAGGCCAGAGCCCACAGAGGCAGGTGTCAACAGCAAAAAGCATCCCTCTCTCATAGATTTCCTTTGCGGGGAATGGGGGAGAGAGAGTCCATTGGAAGGCAGTCTAGGCTCAGTCCAGTTCTGTTCCCAGGTACCTCTATGGCCTCTCATTTGGGGGTGGAGCAGGGCAGGGGCTGGGGGTTACATCTCTGAGAAGGTAACACACAAAGAGATCTTCTCCTAAGGATGTTAGGAGGTGATGAGGGAGGGAGGGAGGAGCCAGTTACAACATGAATGCCTAGGGCTGGAGGGTGAGCACTGGGGAAGAGCCCCTCTTCCCATGGCCCCTGTGGGTTCCCTCATAGAAACACTGGGCGGGGAGCTGGGCATGGGCATTTGGACTCTGGTGCAACCAGATAGGCTGTCACTTCCAGGGTGGGGCCTGGGAGGCCCCTAGGGCAGGCAGGTGTGTGTCTGTCTGCACACAAGAACAACTCTCTCCCACATACACCACACACGCCTGTATGTGTGCTCCAGGCCTGTTTAGGGGGCAGGGAAAGGAACTCAGACACCATTCTCAGTGGACAAGCTTAAAACACAATGTGGCTCATTTTTATTTTATCTCAGAAAGACACATTCCCTTTAGAAGGAAAGGCAGTTAGACAGGGCCTCCAACTGGGCGGCTCTGAGCTGACCCCACACAGGCCCACGACCTGCCAGCCCTGACCTCTCCCCGAGGCTGAGCCCCTGCTCTGGCATCGCTTTGTTACAGCTCTCTGTTCTTGATCCCAGCTTTGTCACCCCAAGAGATGGCTCTGGGACTCCCTGGGCAGAGACTCTTCTGCCAGGTTAGCAGCAGACTGGCAACAGACCCAGCAGCCAGGGAAGGAAAGATAATAAAATAAAAGGGTTTCCTTACATTTAGATTTTCTCTGGGCCCAGCAGCAGCTCCACCCCAGGAGTCTAGGGGAGGTGATGTGTCTGTGGCAGGGGTCCTGTGGGAGTCACTCCCCAGCCTTAGGCCAGTCTACTCTGCTGTGCCACAGCTGCTCTGTGGAGACCAGGCAGCATTTCTAGATGCTCTGAATAGGGGACTGGGCCCTGCCCAGCCAAGATGCTGCAGGTGCTGTGGCCCTGGCCTGGTACAGGGACTCACAGCATGAAACGTCTGCCTCCTTGGACCCCCAGCCCATCTTGCTGGTCTCATGCTGCTCCAGCCTAGGGCTCCCTCCTCTCAGTCCAAAGTGGGAACTGGCTACGCACAGGGTCTCCTGGCACACTAATTATCTTCTCCCAATGGGACTGGTCCAGCCAACCAGAAAGATAAATATTTCCTTTACTTCAGAAGAGGTGAACACCACACACCATCAGGATACTCCTGCTCCATCCTGGGCCAGGGGGTCCTCTAGGCTGGGGGTCTCTGGGCACATGCCCTTGAGCTCATGGCTAAGGAGCTCCACATCAGAGAGACCCATGTCCCCGTGAGACTTGTGGGCAGTCCCTCCACTCACCAGCCCCAGGGCATAGCCATTGGGCCTCCTCTCAGCATGGGGAGCACTGCCATTGGCCCACACCCCGGGGGGGTGGCCGTTGAGGCGGAGGCTGACCTGTTCTCCATCGCTGCCATGAGCTGCCAAGGCTCGGGCACTGGTGCCAGCTGCCTTGAAGGGTTCTCGCTGCCTCAGGACGTGGCTGCGGATGATCTTGCGGAAGGTCTGGCGGAACTCACGGATGCGGTAGGCATAGATGAAGGGATTTACCACTGAGTTGGTGTGGGAGAGGATGATACCCAGGTACATGAGCCAGAGAGGGGCGTGGCTGCACTCGGAGCAGAACAAGGTGAAACAGTTGACGATGTGCAGGGGCAGCCAGCAGAGGGCGAAGAGCCCCACGATGATGGCCAGCGACTTGGCAGCATGGACCTCCTTCTGCAGTGTGGACCGAGCCCGCTCCCCTGGCAGTGGCTGGCTCTCCATCTGCTTCAGCTGGCGCCGAGCTGCCAAGAAGATACGCAAGTAGACGGCCAGCATGAGGAGCAGGGGCACCAGTACACAAGCAAAGAAGTTGTAATACACCATGTAGTTCATGGGCACTACGTCCTCAAAGAGACAGGCCACCTGGCCCTCCCTACAGCCCTCTGAGTGGTTTCTGCCCTCCTTCAGCTGACCACAGTTGTTCCATCCAAGCATAGGAGTCAGGCCGATGGCAAACGACAGCACCCAGCAGATAGCAATGATGCCCTTGGCCCTTGTGCCAGTCACCAAGCCATTGTACCTGGAGAGAAGAGACCAGCATCAGAGATCTGAGACAAGGGCTAGGAAGGGCCCAGAGTCAAGAGACACGGAGGGGGGGACCTGGCTCCCCCATTCACTGGCTGTGAGGTCTTGGATCAGTCACCTCCTGCCTCCTCGCCCCTGTGTCTTCTTGTGTTAAGTGGAGGCAGTGAGCCTTGCCTTTCTCCCAGGGGGCTGCTGGAAGGTAGCGGGAGAGCAGGCACCACACAGATGGAAAGCACTGTCAAAATGCTCAAGACAGGCTGGGCATGGCGGCACACCCTGTGATCCCAGCACTCTGGGAGGCCGAGGCAGGTGGACTCCTTGACCTTAGGAGTTCCAGACCAGCCTGAGCAGAGGGAGACCCCATCTCTACTAATAATAGAAAAACTAGGTGCTCGGGAGGCTGAGGCAGGAGTTTGAGGTTGCTGTGAGCTATGATGCCATGTACTCTAGCCTGGGCAACAGAGTGAGACTCCATCTCAAAAACAAACAAACAAAAACGTTCAGATGATCACTAAATAGTTTTAGGAATAGTATTGGAAGTTCAATAGTTTGGCTTGAGGGAATTAACATGTGATATTTTAGTAGGAGGAGTATTATCTCCATGTTGGTTGATTTTTGCTGATGCTACCACATGTTTCACTTCAGAAAATGAAACAGGTACAGGGGCAGAACCGGCCAGATCAGCCCTGTAGGTGCAGCAGACCTCTCCGGGCCCTGTTCTTCCCCATCTGACATGGGCGTCTCAGGAGAGGCAGCACAAGACTTGGAGAGGCCTCAAGCCAAATGAGGATATCATTGCTCTCCTTCAAACCCACCCACAGCCCTCTAGAAAAGAGATAATACCTTTTAACATTTATACGGCATTCCTAACATGCAAGAGGAAGTACTAGGACGAGGTACTGAAGTCCAGAGAGGGACAGTGATCTGCCTCAAATCACTCAGGGTTCCTGAGAACCTCTGATTCCCAGTCCCAGACTCACAGAGAGGCTTTATTTGTGAGCCAGGAAGCAGACCCCAGCCCCATACAGAAGGTGGCACATAGACTTTATAAAAGAATAGACAATAAAAAAAATAAAGTTTCTCTGACTTAGGAAGTCCTCAGTGATCGCTGAAGTTTTGATTCTGGCAAGACCAGACTGCCCTTCTCATCCTTCAAGGTCAGGCTAGAGATCTTCTTAGAGAAGTTTCCTACCCAAACACAGCAAATCTATACCTCATCTGGCCCCCCAAAGGCAGACTCTTACTGTCAGTCTCGTCATTGCCAGCTCTGAGACAGGGACACACAGTAAGTGCCAAGGAAAAATGTGCTCTACTTAATTCAGAATTAGAAACATCCACAGAAACAATCCGGTCCATGGGCACATACAGGTACCACCTATAGGAGGCAGGCTGCCTGGTCAACCTGGCCCATGGGTGGCACATACAGGTGCCCACAGGTACCACCCACAGGAGGCAGACTGGCTGCTGGGGGGTTTATCTGGTTTGTGCTGCCATGCAAAACGTACACCCACTGTTACCAGGTCTCAGGAGGGACTGGAGAGCTAATTTTCTGTGTAAAGTCCCCTAAGATTTAAATTTCCTCAACTAATTCAATAAGGGGTAGTTTCTGACTTCTTACCTAGTGAAGTCCCCTCATTTTACAGGTGAGGAAGCTGAGGATTGAAGGAAAGAATGGATTTGCCATGGACCTTCCAGGAGCCCAGAGGCAACTCAGGCCAAGTTAAGTTTGTCCGTTTTGAATCTGTTATGTCAATTTGGAATCCACCCAGTAACCAGGCAGCCATTCTCAGGAACTCCTGAGCCCTACCCAGCAGGGGCTTGGTCACCTGCAATGAGGCCTTGCAGGAAAAGGGTTACAGGCTTGCTCATCCTGCCAAGCAGCAGAGAGTTGGCACTGCCTCGTCTCCTGGTCTGCCAGCATGAAGTTGCAGGCTTTTTTTAATTCCCCCATTAATTCTTAACATAGCATTTACTCTGTGCCAGGCACCAATTTTAGTGTTCTACAAAGAGTAATTTATATTATCCTCATTGAGTGGGAGGCTATATTGATTTTGACATCTTGCTTGAGGAAAGCAAATCCCTTCCTGGGTTCTGGACCTGGTGTGTTTGTGTAAACAGGAATCTTCAAGGTCTCATCCTATTTCTGATCCTCAGTTTCCTCATTTGTAAAATGGGACTGAGACCTGGACCTGTCAGCACTGCCCCCTAAGGGTAGAACGTAGAACCAGTGGGTGGAAATTAGGGAGAGGCCTATTGCAGCTCAGGGTAGATAAGAACTTCCCGGCTGAGCCCATCATAGGAGAAATGGGCTGCCTCAGGCAGCAGTGAGCTTCCTGTTGTCTGAGGCAACCAAGCAGAAGCAGCCACAGGGTGGTAGAGCCGCCTGGGCCCCGGGGCCACCTGCTTTGCTGGTTTTCAAATTGCTCTCCAGCAGCAGACCTCTCTTTCCACATTCCCAGGCAGTTCCAGAAGCGGAGCTGTTAGGGAAGAGAAGGGGCTTAATATTTAGTTATTGAATCAGTGACTTGGTGGAGACACAAGGGCCTGATCACAGAAATCCCTGATCTGTCCAACTGTCTACTTGTACAGATGAGGGAGCCCCATGCAGGGAGTCTTCTGTAGTACTCTGCAAAGCAAGCCCAAGTGACATACAGGGTGTTCACAAAGTTCGTGTGTAATTTAAAAATAGTTGTCTATTTTAAATTGCACACGAACTGTATGGACACCACGTATATAGCGATAGTACTTGCCTATATATAAAAAGAGCATCTCTGGAAGGATTCCCATCATAGCTTTCAGGAAGGAAACGGCATGGGAAAGGGGGTGCGGGGGGACAACTTTCCGTTAGTCTATATTCTGTGTGTGTTCCTTTTTTTTTTTTTTTTTTTGAGACAGAGTCTCACGTTTCACCCTCAGTAGAGTGCCAGGGAGTCTTAGCTCACAGCAACCTCAAACTCTTAAGTTAAAGCAATCTTCTTGCCTCAGCCTCTCAGGTAGCTGGGATTACAGGTGCCTGCCACAATGCCCAGCTATTTTTTAGAGACAAGCTCAGGCTGGTCTTGAACTCGTTAGCACAGGCAATCCACCTGCCTCAGCCTCCCAAGTGCTGGGATTACAGGCGTGAGCCACTGTGCCTGGCCTTTTTTTTTTTTTTTTTTAAGCCAGAGTCTCACTACGTGGCTCTGGGTAGAATGCTGTGGTGTGACAACTCACAGCAACCTTAAACTCTTGGGCTTAAGCAATTCTCTTGCCTCAGCCTCCTGAGTTGCTGGGCACACCCAGCCTTTTTGTGTTCCTTTTTTAACATTTAGGACATGCAAGTATTATTTATAGTTTTAAAAAGCACAAATTGACTAATTTTGTTATTCAAAAGAAAGCCACTTAGGCTGAGAGCCCTGGACCCTGGCACTCAGGGATCTGGGACGGCATCAGGACCTGAATGGAACCATGGCTGCCATATCTGTGATAAACACAGTCACATCTTGGCTTCAAAGACCCCAGACATAGATCACCACTGGAAGAGGTGCCACAGCCCTCTAGCATGCCATCCTGCCACTCCAGGAAGCTCAGGGTTGTCAGAAGATGTGAGGGCCAGACCTGCTGTCTGCCCCATCTGGGGTGCCCTCTGCCCCTGTGTCCTCCCGCTCATGGCTGCCCTGTCCTGAGGGATCCCCACTGCTGACGTTAGAGGCTCACCCTGTGTCCAATAATACACCCTTGATTCTAGGTGGGTCCTGTATACTTCTGCAGCACACTGAGAAGGGAGGGGCTTCCCTTAGTTGGAAGTCAGTGATCTGAGAATTAAAGAGCCCTGGCCCACAGGGGAAACCCAGACTCCTTCTCCTGGCATGGACAGGCCTGAGTCCACCTCTACCCCTCTACCCCCCAACTCTGTTCACCTGTCACTTAGCAGCCCGTTCCCTTCTCCCTGGCCCCATGCCCACATGCTCATTCCTTCCTCAGGGCCACTTCCCTGGCTTTGTCCCCTTTTGACACATCTGCCCCTACCACATGCCATCAAGATCCAGCAGGAGTCACTCCCTCCAGGGACCCTCTCTCCCAATCCTGCCCTCCTTTGAAGTCAGATCAGTTTGCCACATAAGACTTCAGGCCTCGGCATCAGCAGCCACCCTGAACCTTGGACCATTCCTCAACCAATGAGACCATCCATCAGGCTGCTACAAGAGGCAGGAGACTGTAGTTCCCTGGAATAAGAAGCCTGTATCTCCTGTTCTGAGTTTTCATCCTCTGGGGACACAGACATCTCTGCCTCTGGCCCAGCTTCCTTCTCACGGACGTATTCGACTAGGCCCTGCCCTAGCCCAACATACTCCCTGCACTTGGGAAAGAGAGAGTTTTATGAAACTGAATTCTTTTAAAAAAATTTAACAGGGATGGGTGCAGGTCCAGGGTTAGGGATCCAGGGCATCGATCAGAGATCAGACCTCAGAGTGGCCAAATGGATCTTTCTCAGTGGAGCAGGAAATAGCAGAGAGGAGGCTGGATTCCAGCGGTGAAGGGGACAAAGGAGGGGTGGGAAGAGGTGGAACTCAAGCCAGGCAGTGACTCCAAGTTCCCCCTCACACCCAGCTTGCTTTCAGGAGTCCCCACATGGATACCCCATATGCCCCATGGTCCAGAAGCCTCAAAGAATAGGAAAAAGAAGGGACCAGAGGGCAAGGAGCAGCGTGAAGAGCTCTGGAATCCACCACCTAAGGAGATACTTGTGTGTCCTTCCCCAGCTCTGGCTTCCCCATGAGTAACAGAAGAGTCATGACACCCGCCCTGGCCACAGTGCTGGCCCAGGGCCCTGAGATCAAAGGAGGCGCTGTACTAACATCCTCTGGCAGCTGTGAAGCGCTCTGCCCTCCAGGGAGGGGGATCATCACAGTCATCCTCCCCATCGGCTCCCCATGGAAGAGACTATCCTGAGCCTTCCAAAGTCTCACCAAGCACAGCTCACATCCCCCAAGGTCCAGCACCCAAAGGTTGTGGAAATCAGGATGCAGACAGGCATGGAGGGTAGGGGTAGGTCCATGGCTGCAAACCTCCCACAGCTCCAGAAAGGTCTGAACCCCCACCCCATCTGCCCACCATCCTCCTCAGGGTCCTCGTAATTCCCATCCACTCACTGGGCCCTCATGACACACCTTTGTGAGGTCAGAAGGACAGAGAGATGAGGAGACAGGCCCAGAGAGGGGCAGCTGACTTCCACAGCCACACAGCACACCCCACCCTGTGTCAGGGATTCTCAGCTCTCAGAAAACCGAGAGGGAAAGGTGAAGACAGAGGGATAAAAAGGAGGCCCTTTCAACTGAGAAGAGGAGCTCTGAATCCTCCCTAGAATGCTGTTGCCCTTTGAATCAGAGAAAAAAGTGAAAGCTAGGCCTCTGCTTCCCTACAGGGGGTTCCCACCTGCTCCCACCAGTGTCTGGGCTCCACCTGGGCCCGAAGGTAGACTCCAGGCCTCTGTTCTCCAGTCCCCCAGAGACCGACACACAGACCCCTGCCTGAACCTCTGTGTTCTGAGCTGTCACTGATATACCTGGACTCTGCTCTTCCCTCTAGAGCAGTGGTTCGCAACCTTCCTAATGCCGCGAACCTTTAATATAGTCGAAAGGGGTTGCGACCCACAGGTTAAGAACCACTGCCCTAGAGCAAGAGGGATGGTGGCCTGGGGAGGGAGCCAGGCTATCCCGACAGACTGGAGTTAGACAACCTCTAATTCAGCTCCTTGTTAGGGCTGCCCAGGGTCCCCTTCTCCTTTGACAAAGGTTCTAGGCACCCCTGGGATGTAGGGCAGCATGAAGCCCCAGCTCCTTCCCTTTTTGTCAGTAGCTCAGTGTGGGTGCCGGCTTCCCCTTAGAGCCCAGGTGATGGGAATGGCTATTTGCTACAGGTTCTGGGAGGCCTGCCACCCCTGACCGCTTCCCAGCAACTGGGTGGCAGGCCACATTCCTTCCCAGGCCTAGTCCCAACCCTGCTACCAAGTTACTGTGTGGCTCTGAGACTGCCGGCCTCACTTTTCCATCCAGAAGATGAGAGGAAATGACCTCTGAGGGCCTCCTTGGGTAGATGCTCTAAGTTTCCATTTGCTCATTAAACCTGGTCCTCCTCTCTGCTGGGGCTTCCCCTGTGGGTGGGCATGCCACCTGCTTGGGAGAACCCACCACAGGGACAGCGTACCCTGATCCTTGAGAAGTACCACCTGCAGCCTTGTCCAGGGCCTCGGGGCCTGCAACCACGCAGGCCATGGAACCTAGCTTGGTGAGAGAGGGCAAGGAGGTAGGCAGGAGGCCTCCAGCTTCCCAAGGGAGGGATGTACTTTCAGTCTCATCTGTGGCCTGGGTAGGTGGAGGCCACGCCAAGTAAACTCAGCCTCTGGGAAAATCTTCATTTACACAATGCTTGGCTGAAGTCACTTCACAAAAGATTCACCATAAAACCCCCCTCCGACAGTCAGCCCCTGTACACACAGCCTGCCTCCAAGACCACGAGTCCTTGATGACCTGAGGAGCAACAGAATTTGCATATAGGTCCAAGTGACTCACTGTGGCATTTGGCCAAGGCACTTCCTCTCTGTGGGTCATTTTCCTAATGTGCACACTGTGAGGCCCGCCCAGAGGAGCTGAGGGAAGGCGGGCAGTGGGCGGGTTTCTGCGCTGAGGTCCTGTGGTTTCTCACGGTTCCCCACCCACCCCAGCATCACACAGAGAGTTTTGCTCTTGTGTGTGAAGACCAGATGCACAGGCTTGCAGTGGGTGGGGTCACTGCACCCAGCACTGCCCCCTTGGTCCACATTCATCTGTTAGCAGCCAGAACATGACTGGCCACAGGAGCCCGGGGTGGGGCAGGGCTCTCTCCCTGTGAGATCCATCAGATCAGCATGACCACTGGCTGTGTGCCAGCCCTGGGCAGCCCCTGCTGAACCCTAAGGCTCTGAGCTCAGCTTGCCATGCTGACATTGCAGACTAGGCCCTGACCCTGGGCTCACCCTGGCCCTACACATAGACCTAAGCCCCAGCCCCACTCACCGCAGGGGGATGCGGATGGCAATGTAGCGGTCAATGGCGATGGCCAGGAGGCTGAAGATGGAGCTCTGCGTGAGGACCAGGACAAAGCAGGCGATGAATAGGCAGCCATGGCAGGCAGCGCAGAACCCGGTGCTGATGGTGATGGAGAAAGGAATGGCCAGCACACCCACTGCAATGTCGGCCACCGCCAGTGACACCACGAAATAGTTGGTGACGTTCTGCAGGTTGCTGTTGAGCCACACAGCCCAGCACACAAGCACATTGCCCAGGATGGCTAGGACAGCAATGGCCAGCTCCACTGTGATGTACACTGAGGAGCCCATGGTGGACATGGCCAGAGACTGGCAGGCTTGGCAAGGACATGGGCTGGGCCAGCTCACGGTCCATCGCTGCAGCCCGGCCACCTGCCTGCCTGGCCCAGGCCCCCAAGCCCTTTCCTGCCAGGGGGCTCTCCGAGGGCGTTTTTACAGATGACTCTGAATCTCCCAGAATGAAGCCCTTTCCGGGGGCTTCAGTGGCAGCGCCATGGCTCAGCCAGCTTCAGGGTCCCCGAGGCTCCTGCAAAGGGAGAGCCTAGTGAGAAGCTGAACCACCTGCAGAGGCCGGGCCCAGCAAAAGTCTCCCCACCCCTCACCCCCCACGCCTACCCAGTCCCTGGAGGATTCTGTTGCCTCAGATCCTATCCCACTACAGTCTGGGTGTCAGCCTGAAGATGACACCCACCACCTTCCTAGCCTGTCTACTGTGGTCACAGCCAGGAGGCAAGAGAGTCCTACTGTAGAGGACATGGGCCCAGAGAAGTTCCAGGGTTAAGCTGCTTCCCCTGGTCCAGTGGGATTCCTGCCAAGGAATCTTACACAAATCTTTCCCAAGCAGGTAGCCCCTTCTCCCAGGCACTGCAGGATGGGTACAGGAGAGACTGGGCACAGAGTGGCCAGGCCCCTGCCCTGGGTGGCTTACCCTCAGAGCTGTCTAGGGCTCCCTACATTCCCCCACTCTGAATGTTGGTCCCAGCCCCTCCCACCCTGGATTCAGAGTTCTTGACTGTTCCCAAGGGAAGCAGAGACTCTTCTTAGGCACTCACAGTGGCTCCTCTCACTCAGCCTCTCAAGCCTCCTGTGCAGCCTTGGGCAGTCTCCTGGGTCCTGCATTCCCTGTAGCTCCACGACCCGCCCTCTCTCCTGGAAAAGCCCCCCACCTCTCAGGCTCTCCCAGCCCCATCCCCCATCTCTCACTGGCCAGCTTCTTAGCCCCCAGCCTGTTCCACCCCCCCTCGAGCTCTCCTGGCAACTACCAGAGCCCACCCAAGAACTACCTAGTCATGAGGCAGGCCAGAGATTGGCGCTCGAGCCTTCAGGGACCCGGGCTTGTTCCTGCATCCCACTGCCAGCAGAGGGTAAGTTCTCTCATGCTACTTCTGAGCTCCTGCCTCCAGGTGCCCGTGACAGCCAGCTGCACATCGGGGTGGGGCGGCACAGCAGCTGCCTACAAGCCTCCTCCCCCCTCCTGCTCTGAGGGAGCTGCCCTGCTCCCTGCCCTTCACCCACCTGCTCCTCTGCCTGGCAGACACAGGAATGACTGACTCAAGGTTGCTGTTAGGCAGAAAGCAGGTACTAAGCCAGAGGGGTACCCCAGGATTCGCTGGGGGACTACAGGCAAGAATGGTTCTCCTTTCTGGGCCTCAGTTTCCTCAGGAAGGTGTCTGGACCCCCAGTGACCTCTAGGGGCAGTTTCAGCTCTTATCTATGATTCTATGAGAAAGACACAGATCTGAAATGGCTTGCCCAGAGTCCAAAAACATGTCATAGAAATGAGGAATTACTGACACCCTCAGAAGAAGCCAGTCTCCCAGCAGGCCTGAGTCCAGCCCAAACTCTCAAGTGTTCCCCTTGGAGCTTGTGAAACGGTCTCAGTTCAGGCAAGCCTCTGCTCGCTAAATTGCCTCTGCTCTGAGACCTAAGAGGCTCCCTGATCCACTCCTTCCAGTCCTGAACCCTCTTGAAGCCCAGGAGTGCACGGGCAGTAGCCATCGCCTTCCTGGGCACAAGAGTCTGAGACGCTTTCACATGGGCACAGGCAGCCACATCCCCCTTCCTATCCTCCAGAACATGAGAGATTGAGCAGGACCAGCAAATCTGGAAGAAGGTCACTCCTGGTCCATAACCCTGTTCAAGGGCCAGCCCCATCCCTCAATTTATCAGGAAGTGACAGGGCTAAGATAGATGAACCCCAAATTTCTTCTAACTCTATTACAGTCAGTGTGTCAGGTGGCTGGAGATGGTCAGGCACAGGGGGTACCCACACTGGAGGGTTTTCCTGTGTTCAGTATGTACTTTTGCCCCAGTAGGAGGCTCAGACTGGAGCATCTGACACAGGCCAGAGGACAGGAGGAGAGAGGGGAGAAGAGGAGGCCAGAGCCCCCACTGAAACAGACAGGTGTGAGCAGCCTGTGGTGGCCGGAGGGGGCTGAATACCACCAAGCTCCTGCTTTGCAAGGAGCACTCACTGGCCAGCCGTTCACACATGTGCCCCTGGCAGACACAGGTCAGACCAAGAAAGCACAGCCCCACAGAAAGCACATGATTGTCCCTTAGTGTTCCTGGCCTGTAGCCCAGAGCAAGCATTTGCCAGGGACCCTCCCAACAGGCCCCCATTTAATAGGTACTGGGGGAGCCAGTGTTAGACCTGGCCTGCCTCCTATTAGGTGCTGTCCTGTTACCCTGGGTGGCCTCCCAGACTAGCACCTACAGCAACAGAAGCAGCCCACCATCTAGTCAGGCTCAGCAAGCCCTCAAGGGGAGAAGATGACAACCAGCTGACATCCTCTGGGCCCCCTCTAGGGGAAGTTGTACTGAAGGATGCCAGGACCCCCTTCCTGCTAGTCTGACCAGCCCAGGCTGGAAGGCCAATGCTGCCCCAGACCATCTTCCAGATTCCAGGGTCCTGCTGGGGGTAGACAAGGTAGGACATGCCACATTTCTGCTAAGGTGAGGTAGCCATGGGGTCTGGACTGACGACACCGGCCAGGATGCCTGGCTCTGAAGAAGCCTGCAAGGGGCCTGAGCCAGGCCTCCATTCGGAAAGACTCCAGTCAGCTGTGGGTACCTTCCTGCGTACCCTCAGTTCTTAGGGTCTCCCTACCACCTTCTGTGCAGTGGGTCCCCATGCTGAACAGCACTAGAGGCCGATTCCCGCCTACACTGAAGCCACCTTCTGTCCTGCTGATCACTGTCTCACAGAGAACAGAAGACCTTCTTCCTGCCCAGGCCAGCCTTGTGCAGGGCTAAGAACACACAAGACTCCCACTGGCAGGGTCCACACAGGCGACCTCCCTGCATGTCCTGCTCCCTCTCTGTCCCTTCCTTCAGCATTCCTGCAGGCTCTTCCAGCCACTGCCAGTCCCAGAGGCAACTCGGGAACCTACCAAACCAGAACCCACTCACAGCTGTCCTCTACTCCCACTCCCAGCCCCAAGCAAAACAAGTCAGTCAAGCCAGAGATGCTCTTGGAGCAGGCAGAGGAGGCCGGGAGCACCTACCACTGGAGAGACTGGAGGATGGGCTACCCAGGTGCGGGCTGGCATATTGGCCCAGGGGTTGGGGCACCCTGACTGGTAGCCTGTGTTCAATTTCTATGGCATAAATGATCCCACTGTAGTCAAGTTCAAGCTACTAATGTGTCGCTGAGTAGAACTGGGGAGCAATGTACAAAGTAGGCTGGCCACTGGTGCCGGCCACGCTAAGCCACCAAACCCTAGGCACTCTGAGAGGCTACCTACCCGGGTGCCAGGACACTGCACCAGACCCTCTTAAATAGCTTGCACCACCTGCTTAGGAGCTTAGGAAATGATGGTCATCTGTGATGTTGGGGGCCCCATGAACCCCCTTGACAGATGAAGAAGGTAGGGCCCAAAGAGGTGAAGAGACCGTTCTCAGCCTGACTGAGAGCACTGAAGTGGCGCACAGGCCTGGGCTCATGCCCACAAAAAGCACACAGCAGGAAGGTTCCAGGGCCTTCTGGCCCCTCGAAGCTTCCCTCCCTTCAGAAGCCTCTTGGGGATGGGAAGGTCAGAGGCCCAGGAGGGGGTGGGGTGGGGCCAGGATCTGGCAATTTCCTATCCCTCTCTTTTGGCTCCATGTATCTAATTAATCCTTGAGTCATCTGTTGCTAACTGCAAGGGGAAATTAAGTATTAATAGTGTAATATTTCCCTGTGATTGTCCCTTGTTGGAGCCAGGGCATAGGGCAGGTGCTGTTCCATAAAAACTGGAGACACGTGCTATGGAACATGCATGATAAGCCTTGAAGAACAACCATGCAGGACTCCTAGCAGTCAGACTCAAAGCTGCCACTTCTTCCTGCCTTCCTCCTCACCCCAACTCCAACCCAGCCACTTTAATTAAAACTCCATTTAATCAAAACGCACACATCTCCTGGTCCACTTCTGGGTCCTTGTCTGTCAGTGGAGCAATGCTCTGTGTACACATGCCCAGATGGCGGCTAGGACCCCGCCAGAACCTGCTGGACGGAGGCATCCTCTGGCTCCCAGGCAGTGCCCTGCATATCTGCTCCTGGGCACAGGGCAGGAACTCAGACCCACAGCAGCCATGCTGGTCCCATTCCTGGGCTTCAGGATCCCAGCCTTCGAATTCTCCTACTACTTTCTCTCTTTCTCTTTTTCTCTTTTTCTTTCTTTTTTTAGGTAGAGTCTTGCTCCATCACCAAGCTAGAACACCGTGGCATCATCAGAGCTCACTATGGCTTCAAATTCCTGGGCTCAAACCACTCCCAAGTAGCTGGGACTATAGGCATATACCATCATGCCTGGCTAATTTCTGTATCTTTTGTAAAGACAGGGGCTCACTCTTGCTCAGGCTCATCCCCAACTCCTGACCTTAAGCACTCATCCCATCTCAGCTTCCCAGCATGCCAGGATTATAGGTCTGAGCCACTGTGCCTGGCCAAAATCCTGCTACTTTTTAATAGAAAATGCTTACTCAACACCTACGCCAAAGCCAGGCAGCAACCAACTGTGGGACCACCAGGAGCTCTGTTCCCCCACTGCTGTGCTTCACCCTGTTTGGGCCCCGATTCTATGGCAGGGAGTTCTCCAAGGAGGAAAAAGCTCAGGAAACTCCTGAGGGATGGCTGCTGGCCCTGGGCTTCAGGTGTCTACATGTCACTCCTATCTCCAGGACCTCAGCTCATATTTAATTTGAGCTGTAACTCAAAGCACGAGAGGAAAATTAAGACTCAGAAAGATAAGCAATGTCATAAAAAATATGGAGATGAATTAATCTCTGAAGAAAGGAAAGTAATAGAGCAATCTAATTATGATTTTAAAAGACATTTAGCATCTTCAAAGAGATATAGAAAAGAACAGCATTTATAAAAAGGAAAGAGAACTTAGGAACCAAGTGATAGAAATGAAACAAGAACAGGTGGATGTCAACAGGAAATAATATAAGATCCTGGAAATGAACAACACAGACTGAAGAACAGGAGGGATGTGACAGGCCTCAGACATGCACACAGCTGAAGAGACAGTTAGGGATTGAAGACAGCACCGAGGAATTTCCGCAGAAACCTCACAAAGAGACAATGTGTGCACAGAAGCCGTTGAGAGGTACAGAAGGTAGATCAGGACGTACCAGCCTGTGTCTCAGCAGAAGCGGGCGGCAGCAGCTGGACGGCAGGCACTCCTCTCCCAAACGCAGGCTCTCAGCTGGCTCTGCTGGGACTGGTGTTTAGGGTGGCCCGCAAGCCTCCCAGAGCACCAGAGCCCCAGGACCCACTGAGCTCCTCCTAAACCCATCAGCGGCAGGTGCCTCTGGTGCTGCCTGGAGGTGAGCCACAAACACGTGTCTGCTCTCGTCCCTCCCTGCTCCAAGGCTGCACAGCGACCCCCCCACTTCAGGCGCTGAGTGCAGGCTGGGCCCAGTGCCCCAGGATACCCTGCCCCCACTGCCTGGGTGTGCAGCTGCCACTTTCTGCCCCTCGGGCAGGATGTGGGCAGAACCAGCTCCTTGCAGCTGGAGGCGGAGACACTCAGCAACCTCACAGATCCCACACTGCCAGCCCTGGGGGCTGCGTCCCTTTGCCCCAGCCCTGTGCAGCCTGCCCCAGCTCCCTGACCTCCATGGGGGCTAGGATGGGCCCTGCCGGCCCCACGAGTCCAGGACAGATGCCAGAGAGGCCACAGACCCCCATGGTGGCTTCATCTGACAGCTCCCTCCAAGGGGTGTACCTCACACAGGAATGAGAGGGCCCCACCCGCTCTGTCACACGCTCCCTGGGAGCTGAGCAAGAGGCTTGCCCTCTGCACGCTGTGCTGAGGTCACAGGACATCAACATCACGTGAAAGGCTCAGAACCTGTACCTCCCCCAGATGGTGGATGACAGGTTCTATGCCACCTGAAGAGGGGACATAGGGAGGTTTCTGGATGCCCCCTCAAACAGGGTCTGGGGTGGGGCCCTCATAGGAGGCTTTTGGGGATGGTGTTAGGTACAGAGCCCAGGGGGTGCCTGAGGGCAGCTGTACTGAGGGTGCGACGGACCCACAGGGGGGTCTCTGGGCCACAGGTATGATAGTGCATCCCCGGGGGATGAAGGAGGGAGATCTGGGCCACCCTGGGCGTGGGGAGCACTGGCCCAGCCTAGCCACTGTGCTGTCCACACTGAGCAGCCACCTCCCCCACTTAGCTGGCTCAGGGTCTACAGAGGCCAGAGGGGTCAGATGTGAATCACCGGCAACAAATGGCTGACCTGGGGGCCGCTGGGCAGAGACCTGCAGCCCAGACAGCAGAGAAGGCACCAAAACAGACACTGAGTCCACTCGGCCAGCTCAGGTGGCCTCTCCTCCAGGTGACAGCAACTGCCAGGGACCTGGGCAGAACATCTGCAGAGGGGAAGCCAGGAGTGTGAGTCCTGAAGGAACCCAAAAGGCTTCTCATAGCAAGGGTCATATGTCCTGGACGTGGAGGACAGAAGATGAAGGGAAGAGGTAGGGAGAGATGGCAGCAATTAAAATAGGACTGTCAGAGAAGGCTTGAGGCAGTCCTGGAAAGTTGACTGCTGCCGGTCCTGGGTTTCCTGCCCCTTCCTGTGTGCTGGCCTAAGGGCCAGCTGCTTTCCCTACTCTGTGTAGATCAGTGGTTCTCAACTTGTGGGGTGAGACCCCTTTGGGGGTCGAATGATCCTTTCATAGGAGTTGCCTAAGACCATCCTGCATATCAGATATTTACATTATGATTCATAACAGTAGCAAAATTACAGTCATGATGTAGCAATGAAAATAATTTTATGGTTGAAGGTCATCACAACATGAGGAACTGTATTAAAGAGTCCCAGCATTAGGAAGGTTGAGAACCACTGGTCTAGACCCTCCTCAGTCTCTGGCAGGATCCCAGGGTAACCAGCTGCAGGGGTTGGGGGACTTCCTCTCTCCCACAAACTGTCCCTTCCTGCTACTCAGCCCTACCGAGGAGGGGAGTAGTTCCTCAGGGCTCCTCTCTGCATCCCAGTTCCTTTCCCTTTTCCCATTGGGGACCCACCCTTAGGCACTTCAGCCCCTCTGCTCCCTCCAGCCTCCAGACCACTCACCTCTGACCAAATCCCTTGGGCCAACCCCTCCCTCTGCAGCTCCAGCACTTCCCCAGGCCAGACCTCTCTCCTGAGAGCTGGGATCCTCCCCTTTGCTAACTTCACGACAGACTGGGGTAGTCTGTTTCAGCATGCCCACTGCACGCCCTCCAAACTCTTTCCAGCCCACCCTTCCCACCTTCATGCCTCTGGTGAACGTCCTCCACTTGCCTGTGCACAGCTCTCAGAGCCTGATTTGAGTAACTCCAGACCAGACAGACCCCACAAAGGCAGTTGGGATGATGATTCCAGCTCGTTCTGGGTTAGGGGCTTAGGCATTAGGCAGGTTATGGGTACGCAGCATCCCTGCTGTGGGGTTTCAGGTCACTGCTGGGAGCCACCAGGGGCTGTGGTCTCACACAGGTGCTTCCCAGGCACCCACAGGCCCTAGACTTTATAAGATATGGTGCCCTGAAGCCACAGGCTTGCTTCCAAGCCAACTCCAGTTCACACATCCCTCTGTCAACAGCAATCCCTGGTGGTGTCCCCTGACCCTTGAAGCTAACGCCTTCCTCCAGGGATCCCAAGCTTCACACAAACCCCAACCTGACTCAAGTCTGCCCTTCCCCACCTCCAAAGAAAATGCCTACCTCTCATTCCTTTTCCACATTAGACATCATGGGATTAGCACCCTTGTCCTTTCTACACAATGGATTCCTGAGAGAAGCAATTTGCCAAGCCAGGGATCTAAAAGGCTGGATGGGAACCCAGAACCCAGGTTAGACCCTTGAAGTCACCATCTATTGGGCTTCCCTTGAGGCTGGCTGGCTATTGCCTTTTTAGGCTGTGGATGCTGGAGTGCAGGCCCCAGGGCACATTTAGGAACCTGGACTTCATAGCCACTACAGAGAGAAGCAACAGACAAGCCCCCAGAGACAAAGCCTGCCTCCCACCTCTGAGCAGCCTGGCCTCGTGAACAGGGAAGCCAGCTCAGTCCAGAATGTTGTCACTGAGGGGACACAGATGGAGGGACAATGGCTGAGATTCACCTGAGAAATAGTAGGCCCTGGTAGAGCCCAAGAGGCAAGGGCAGAACAATGAGGTGTTGACACCATAGCCAGCGGACTGGCCTGTGAAGCGTCCCTGCGAAGGATATGCTGGGACGAAAGGTGGGACTGTCCACAGGGCACAGACTTCCCAGCCCTACACAAGGCCTCCGGGAGCAGCCACAGCAGGACCAACAAGGTTGCCCCTGATGCCGCAGCAGCCTCCCAGGGCTGCTGGGCTCCACAGAGCGCTCCGCCGCAGTCCTCAGGGCCAGCACATCAGGGGCAGGCCTGGCTGGGCCCAGAGGGCGCATGAGGAGTCACCAGGAGGGTGTAGAGTCTGCGAGTCCGGGGAGCTGGACAACAGAAGCAGGCCTGAGCCCCAGTCCCCAGCCCTGCAGGTGGCAGCCTGTAGGAAAGGGGCGCTGCCTGGAATGGGAAAGGGGAGCTGGCCACAGTGACACGCACCCTCTCCGAGGACCGAGAGAACATCTGCTCCTCCCCGCAGGGTTCTAGCTCTCTAGCCCAGGTGAAGCCCTCGGTCTCTCCTTCCCATCGTCCAGGGAAACTGAAATCAAAATACCCAGAACGCTGGGCTCTCCGCTCCGCCGGCGAGTGGCCCTCCTCGAGCTCTCGGGCAGTCCTGCGCCAAATCCCTCGAGAGCCGTCACCATTCCCGCCATTCCCACCTCCGCTTAGGGCAGCCAGGCAGACGGCCAGGACCGTCCGAGCGTGCGCACCCACTCGCGCCCGTCCCCGGCCTCTCCTGGGTCCCCCGAAGTCCAATTCCCGCCACCGCCGTCCACTGGACGCGCCCGCGCGCTTGGCCCGAGTTCCAGACTCGCCTTTCCTGGGCGCTCCCGCCGTGCCCTCCCTCGGCGGCACCGGTCCCCGCCCCGGCGTCTTCCCCCTCCGACCCCCCGAGAAGTCCTTTCTCATCCCTGAGTCCGATCTGCCTTCCCTCCGGCCGCGCCGCTGCGCCCCCAGCCCAGCCATGGTCGAGGCGAACCCGGGGGCTCATCCAGGCACTCTGGGCGGCCCACGGCGCCCTGGACGGACGGCGGCGCTCTCCGCCCGCGCCCGCGCCCTCCCCTCACCGCGCACCTTCCGGACTGGTCGGGGCGCTCGGGGGTCCGCACACCGCCCCCGGTCGGGCTGGGGTCGTGACTGCGCCCAAGTCGCCCCTGCGCAGGCCGTGCTAGTGGCCGCCACGGGGCAGGGTTCGGACCCGGACGCCGGCGAACTCGCTCTCGGGCGGCGGGGTTCCCTGAGGGGAGGACCCCGAGCCTCCCCTGCCCTCCCGGTCCGGAGCCTCGGACGGCTCCACGCCGCCTGGCCGCCCGTCCCGGACCCCCGCGACCCCGGACCGACCCCCGGCTGACCTGCAGCTCGCGCGCCGGCTCCCGCTGTCTCGGCGTCGGCTCGGGCTCGGGATCCGGCTCCGGCCGCGCCGCTCAGGGCGCCCCCTGCAGGCGGCTTCCGGCCCCGCCGGCCTCCGCCCCGCCCCGCCGCGCGGGGAAACCGAGGCCGCAGAGCCGGCGGGGATCGGAGGCGCCGTCCGTGGGGCCCCGCGACGTTCCGGGGAGGCGAGGCCACTACGGGCCAGTGCCCCGCAGTGAGGCAGCCCCGGGCTCGCGTCCGTCCAGGCCGCCGCCTCCAGCGCCACACACCCTCCCTTTCCCTGCGTCTTGGGCGGGAGTCCCTCGGTTGAAGCCCTCGGGCCCCACCCCTAACTCCTCTTCCATGAAGTCCCCGGGCCGCCCTCTGCTGTTTTTTGTTTTGTTTTTTTAATCACCGCTGGGCTGGATGGTCCCCCCTGTGTCAACCCTTCCCAAGGTCCAGCTATGCCGCGGAAGGTGTCCAGTGCCGTCTCCTCCTCCAGTCTTTTCATGGTCCCCCAATTTCTGAGAGATAAACTCCAGTCCCCTTACTACAAGTTTAAGGCCCTGCCTGGTCCGTGTTCTGCCCTACCCCTACCTCCACCCCTTCTCCTGAGCCTTGCCCAGGCCAGCTGGCATCTAAACTCAAAGGATGCCTCCTGGAAGGTGGTCCCAATTTTTTTTTTTTTTTTTTGAGACAGAGTCTCACTCTGTCGCCCTGCGTAGAGTACTGTAGCATCACAGCTCACAGCAACCTCAAGCTGTTGGGCTTAGGTGATTCTCTTGCCTCAGCCTCCCAAGTAGCTGGGACTACTGGCGCCGGCCACAGCACCTAGCTATTTTTTTGTTGCAGTTTGGCAGGGGCCGGGGTTCGAACACCCCGGGTATATGGGGCCAGTGCCCTACTCACTGAGCTATAGGCGCCGCCTGGTGGTTTCAACTTTCAATGTCCCTTCTGCCTCTCCCACCCCAGCAAGGGGCCCTGTGCCCTGTGTGACCCTGGTTCTCCCTCCCCCACTTCTAATAAGGAGGTAGAGAGTTTTGTCTGCACCATTGCCTAACTGGGAATCAAATTCTGGGGCTGGGAATTCCCTTTTGTTCCCAACCTTTTGGAGGCTTCTAATTGGTAACCAGCTCATATCCAACCCCAGCCCAGCTATGCAAAGGGATGGATGTAGACTAACCCCTATTTTATTCCTAGCAGGATAACCGGCATGGGATGGGTATGGTGGCTAAGAGCTTGCTGGAAACCTTGCATTTTAGAATCTCCTGGGACTGGTGGGATTAAGGCTAGAGACTCAGAGTGGATGGGCTTGCCCAGTTCCAGGCTGGACCCTAAGGCTGAGGTCAGGATGGGGCATGACCTCTCCCACAGCTGCCACCACCCTCCACAGGGAGGGGTGGGATGCACAAGCACCTGGCCAGCATGTTGGGAGGAGCCCAGGCCCTGTGACAGTGACCAGCACTTGCCTAAACCTGGCCTTGATTGTCTGGCAGCCTCCCTGGTTCATTCCTGGGGCCAAAGCCTGGGCTCCTGTTTCACTTAGTTAGCCTGGCTCCCATAGCAAAACTGGGGGCTGAGGCCCACATAAGACTCTGGAGATGCTGTTGACCCTGCCACCCTATCCCAGATGCCTTTCCAACCTCGGAGCTCTCAACCCCCCTGGCCCTGTAGCCTGTCCTGCTCCCAGGGAGGCCCTGGTGGAACCTCTGTTCAAGGGAGCTGCCTGCCTCTTTCTCCTATGGCCCCTGGTGTCCTCAGCGAGGGAGCTCCTCCCACCAGGTGGGGACATTGCCCATGCGGCCAGAGACTGGACTGCCCTAGTGCTGTGGCTTTCCTAAAGGCCTTCAAGGGGCCCAGTTCCTCACCTCTAAAATGAGACTGTCCTGTTTCTGCACTGCCATCTCCTGGAGCTAAGCTAGAGCCAGCTGTGAGGGACAGCTGAGGAGCCACCCTAGGTCCTCGGCACCCCACCCTCCCTCCTGGGACCAAGGCCTCCTGCCTATCCCTGTTGGACCCCTATTCCTCTGAGTCCTCACTCAATGGACATGCAGGGAGCACCTATCTTGAGTTGCCCTGAAGGGGCAATAGGGACTCGTAAGACAGAAAGCAGCACGCAGACAATTCTGGGGTCCCCTTTACCCTCTATCTCCATGACCCTATGTGTGTGCCCCGTTGATTCTTCCCTCTGCCGCTCTCCCAACACATGGTCTGCCGTGTGCACACCAGGCTTGATCCAGAGCTGGTCCTGGGGGCCCCACCACCAAAGCCCTCTTGGTTCACTGGGCAGTTCCCCCATCACTCAGCACCCAGACAAGGTCCCTACTCCTCCCTGACAGAAGTCCCCTGCCAGCCCATCAGAGCAGAGGGAGTGCCACCTGTCAGGTGCCCTGACCCAGATCTCCAGTGAGGCCACTGTCCCGAGACTGAGCACAGGCCAGGGCCCTCCAGCCCAGTGACCAGGGGAATGGCATGTGGACAGCTCTTGACCAGCTGCCTACTCCAGGAGTAGCCCCATGTCCTCAGCCCTTGGCCCTGCTGATCCCAGCCAGTCCCATGCCTTCCCCAACCATGACAGATCTCAGGTGCCCGGCCTGGGGCTGAAGGCAGTGCCTATTCAGGAGCCTGAGGATGCATGAGCGTGAGGGGCACAGGCCTGTTCTGACAGAGGCCACTGCCTCTTGGGAGGCACAGGGGGTCCCTGACCAGCCTCAGTTTCTAATGCTAAGCCTTGGTTTCCCTGCCCCGCACCAGGCAGACCCTGGAAGTTTTGAGCACCCGCCCTTCCATCCAGGCCCAGACTCCTCAGGCCAGGCCGCGGCCAGCTGGGCCCTGAATTCCTTTCTCAGGCTGCCCACCCCCGCTGGCCCTTTGTTCCTGCCCAGGATGCACCTGGGCGGCCTCTGGCCCTCATTGTTTGCTCTGGGGCCAGTTGAGCCACATCAGGGACACACCAGCTAGGTCCCAGCAGCTGACTGCTAGGAAGGGTCCTTGGGAAACAGCCAGGCCACACCTAGGTGCTCCCCAAGTTCTCCAGTGGGGATAGGGGGACCTCACAGGTTCTAGTTCATCCTCACACTAAGGAGACCCTGCAGCATCAGGCTGGAGGAGATGGTCCCTGAGTCACCTGTAGCCACTGCTGCTACAGTGGCAGCTCCTAGCCCCCAACTGAGCCCTGGAAAGCTGCTTGTCCCACATCTGCTGCTGGGTGTTGAGACAAACAGCAACCTGCTAGGAACCCTGCCTCAGGGATGACCTGGGCTGTCAAGGCAGATGGGACTTCTGCTATATGGTGGGCAGTGACAGCCCTTTATGGCCCCTCCCACCAGGACTTGTCACCCAGCACAGCCTCCTCCCCACTCTCCCTGCACCCCAGCCCTGTGACCTGCCAGGCCTCCCTACTCCTGGGTCAGAGACAGCTCCTAGCAAGAAGGTCCAGGAGGCCCCCACTTTGCAGAGGTGGGAATAGCCGCAGCACATCCCAAGTGTTGGTGGCCAACCTGGGGGAGAACCTGGGTGTCCCAAATCCCTCTCTGTGCTCATCTGGGCAGAAGCCTCAGGTACACTGCCACCTGTGATGGTCAGTCTGTCCCTTCCATGCACATGTGCCTCTCATTGGCTGGGCGCAGTGGTTCACCCCAGTAATCTCAGCAATCTGGAAGGTCAAAGTGGGTGGATCATCTGAGCTCAGGCTGCCCCTGGGTAGTATATTATTGATTTTTTTGATTCTCCATAATTTTATGGAGAATAATTTTATACACCCTGAAAATTACTCCTAAGAAAATACAACATTTCTAATGACAAACAAACTCCTCTGGGCAACTTCCCTCAGGAAGGCATGTATCTTGGCTATGCTAGGGGCTGACACTGTCTCTGGGTCACAGAACCTGTCACAGGCTCACCTGGGTCACCCCCTGGGGTCAGGCTCTTCCCACACGAGGATTCCTTGCCCCTGCTGTGCCCAGGAGCGGCCAGAGGCCCAGTTCAGGGTGGTACCCTCTATGCCATGGCCAGGGTCCGGGGGCAGCGTAGACAGGAAGGAGGAGCAAGTTGGAAAAGCCCAGGCATCTCATGTTTCAACCATTTTAATACATTCAGTAATGTTTACTAGAACGAAATTACAAAAGTATCATCAGTCAGCAGAAGCCTGCGATTGAGAGAAACAGAAACTAACTGGCCCTTTTGCAGTAAAGCTTGTGCTTGAAGGGAGAGGAGGTAACATGGCTTCCTGGAGGCTTCACATCAGGTGCCGTGGGAACAAGAGCACCTCCAAATAGCACTTTTAAACACATTCAACCATCTATAATCATCTCTAACGTTGACTATTAGAAGGATCCTATTAGGAAAGACAAAAAGCGACGTCTCCGGAATCCTCTGTGGGTCTGAACGTAGTTCTCCATGGGGAAAGCTGCTGAAGGAGGTCCCAGACTGCACAGCCCTCGGTTACTGTCACTGACCCTGGGTCCTGATGCCATGATGTCACTGACCCATGGGATCCCCAAAAAGGAAATGCCATCCGCACAGATACAAGCCCACCAGCAGTGGCCTTCATCGAGAAGATTCCAACGAGCTCCCACTCCACTGCACGAGCCATGAGGGCTGGGCTTACAAGGCCAGCAAGAGACAAAGTTGTGACCTGCAGACCCAGGGCAGTCGTCTCATTCATAAGACAAACAACCCCCCCTCCCAGACATAATAAATAAAAAACATGACCAGATACCCTGGGTCCAGACAGATGGACAGGCCTCCTGGAAGGCAATGAGAGCAAGAATTTAGGAAACCTGAGTGGGGAGACATGTGGAAAGGAGTCTCATGCAGTCAGGCACTCATGACGACAGCACAGCTGGCATCAACGCAGTGGTGAGGACAACTGCAGAACTCGGTCAGGGGCCGGACATCGTGAAAGCTGGTGTACGGGGTCTGCAGGCGCTCTACAGCATGACTGTGCTTGCACAATCCTCTCCTGCGTTAGCTGAAAACAGGCATTTCACCGGAGTGCCTCCAGCCAGGAACGGCAACCTCAGCTGCCAGGTGACCACGAG